CAGGCTCCTGCCACCTGTCAGGGGGACAGAGATGTGTCCTCGTGGGCAATCCGAGGTGGCAAAGGTGACAGGGAAGGTCTGATCTCAGCTGAAAAGAGCTGCTGGAGGAGCTACCAAAATAGGGCAAAGAGCTTTCACAAATTCACTGCCAAAAACAACCCATCCCCCAGTGAAGTTTCTTCCTAAAAACATCATGTGTCCATCTCTTGCCAAATCTTTCACAAAAACTAGAGGAGAAAGTTTTTGTTACCACGTTTTTGAGGATTTTTTTCTGTTGTTTTTTTGTTTTTCTTCTCTCCTTTCCCTCTCTCTCTTTCTTTCTTCTTTCCCCTTTTTATTTTGCCATGGAAAAAAAAACAGAGAGAGGAAAAAGGGAGAGGGGAAAAACCCTGTAAATAAAGCAAAACATTGTCCAGGTGTTGGGGGGGGGGTTTTGTTGAGCTGAGCTTCCACTGAAATGTAAATATTTTACAAACAAATCACATTTCTGAGAAACAAACAGGTTTCAATGGACACAGAAAGCTGGGGCCAGCTGGGACTGGGCTCTGCTCCTGAGGAACAAGGGACAGGACAAGGGGAAACGGCCTCAAGTTGCCCCAGGGGAGGTTGAGGTTGGCCCTGAGGAACAATTTCTTGCCCTGGAGGGTTGCCCAGGGCTGTGCCAGGCTGCCCAGGGCAGTGGTGGAGTCCCCACCCCTGGAGGGGTTCCCAAGCCCTGGAGATGTGGGGTGAGGGACACAGGGCAGTGCTGGGTTGGATTTGAGGAGCTGGAAGGTCTCTTCCAACCCAAACAACTCCACATCTGGAGCCCAGGGGGAGCTGAAGGAGCTTTACCCTGGATTCAGGGCTCAGCTGCCCCCTCAGCCTCACACCCATGAGCACAAACCCAGCACCAGCCTGCCACAGAGACACCCACCTCTGGCAACTGGTATTTCAGAATCATTTTATAGCAAAAAAAAAATGTCATTTTACACCCTCCTCCCAACTCTTCTTAATAAAACACGTTGGTGTTGGAAAGGGAAAGTCTCTGGGTGTTCCCAGGTGAGCAGCAGCCTGTGCCTCAGCCAGCAGGTCCCTCTGGGCACTCCAGAGCTCTGCTGGGGAGACCCCTGGAGCAAACTGGGGAGCTTTTGAGGATGGTTCCACAAGGGTTTGTTCCAGGGGGGTGGAGTGGGCTGCACTGGTGCCCCTGGGGAAGGTCTGAGTGAGGAGAAGGGGCTGCCCCCTGGGGGCTCTGGGCCAGACTCATTCCCTGCACCAGGGGACCTGCAGGCTCTGTGGCTGGAAATCCTGGGTGGGAAACCTTGAA